AGAATTCTTGATGGCTAGGATAGAATGTATATGACTGGTTGAGGATGATAGAACCAACTCTAGGACTTGCTTCTTTGAAACCCTTGAACACGAGTGTATGTTTTCCATGCTTGAGAAACTTAGAAATTTTTTATAAGAGAATTCTTAAATGTCGTGGCATAAAACTGTGAATGATGAAAACCCCACATAAAAAAATATATATATAAATTATAAATAAATGCCTTGGCATATCTGTAGAGGAACACTCCGCTATGTCTTGGCATATGAGTGAATGAAAGTAGTCACAAGATGACTCTACCTGACTAGCTCGGGGGTGAAAGGTATGCTCCATTTCATCTAGAGTGTGGGATGGTAGAGTGATGGGTTGACTCTCCTAGTAGCAGAAGTAATCAAAGAAAACAAAGGGGAGTAGTAATTTAAAAATGTCATGGTAAATTGAGAAAGCTTGAGTAGAAAATTTTTAGGTTTGTTAAGCATGGACTGGATACAAACACGCACACACCCACATAAAGAATCTTGCCCTAGGGGACGGTACTTGATTTCTCAAACTAGTCTAGCATGTTGAAGCCATATGAGCTGAGGGCTGAAATTTTATCCCATATAACTATTCTGCTTCTGAACTTGTCATGGTATTTTTGTTTTGCTTATCACTATCCATTGCTTGAAGACAAGCAATAGCTTAAGTTTGGGGGTGTGATAACTCCTTGAAAAGGTCATATTTTGGGACCTTTTCACTTAAGTTATTGAATATCTAAGAGCCCATTTAGGACCATTTAGATGCATTTAGGAGCATATAGTTGCATGTGGTGGATTTTAGTTTGCCGTGGCATTTTATTTTTACAGCGGTGCTGCTTTATGGGAAAGGTACTTGTCTGATGATGTGCAAGTGTTGAAAGCAAGGGAAAGAGGATTTAAAATGCCGTGACATAAGGATATTGCTGAGCTAAATAAAAATGCCAAGTTCAAATGGCATTTCAGGAGCGTACAAGGAGAGAGAAGATATTTTCTAGCCAGCTGTCCCGGATTTTACGCATGCTCTGCCCGAGATACCCACCGCAGCATTTTGGCGCTTCAACCACCGGTTCTGTTGATGACGTTGCCTAGTCTGACCCTGCAGATCCTGTCGGTCCTAGGGCGCCTGTAGAGGGATTATGTCAGTCTCTAGCCAGCTACCTAGGATGTATCATTGCCTAGTCTGCTCGACTCCCAAGTAACTCAACCATATTTTTGGGGTTTCCTAGGATGGTTAACACCAAACCTTAGGATTTTGTTTCCCCTATAAATAGAGGAGGAAGCCATATTGAAGAGGACTTTAGTTCCAGCCATATTTGATCTTAAAAAGTTAGAGAGAGAAAGTCTCATCTTTCTCCGTCAATCCCACTTGCCGTGGCATTTCTCCTTGACTAGCAGAAGGGAGTGGCGTTCTGGGCATCCGAGAGGAGCTAGTCCGCTGGGAGCAGTCCTTGGTGGCCGAGGAAGGCATTTGGCAGTGCACGTCGAAGGCTTTCTCTCATCCCCTTAGTCCTTGCTTTTATATTTTGTTATTGGGTTGTAAGGAACGTATGAATCTTGCTTTGTGCTTGTTGATTTTGAGCCCCACCATGAACTAATCCTATTTGGTGGGAGTTCGCATGATTATTTAAGTTGTTATTTTAATGAATGGTTGTTGTTTCATGCTCTATTCTGTTTTGTTTATGATGCTTAAAGTCTTGAGGTTGTAGGAGCTACGAGAGTAGCCTTTCCTTAGGATGGTTCATGAGGTTCGAGAGAATGTCTTGGCAATTTATCTTTAGTCTTCGAGAGAAGCTAGGGAGGAACTACATAAACAACGAGTTCTAGATAGTAACTAGGCCTAATCCACCTTAGAGATAAGAATAGGATTTCATTCGACTAAAAGGAGTTGTGTATAAACGATAGGTTAGATGTTAATGCTGCCGCAAAAAGGTATTGCCGAGACATATTCTATTAGCTGAGTCAATAGGATCACTGCTTGGGCTTACGCCAATCGGTTTTGCCAGGGCATCTTTAGTCTGTCGAGTCCCTTACTAGAGATAGCATAGGGCACATCAGTAGACTCTGTCGGGCAGGGTAAGCATAGAAGAAGCACCATTCAGAGAAATAAACTTAAGTTTTCCTTGTGTCTCCCATCACTCATTTCCATTGCTGCTTGTCTTGTGAGAAAGCTAAAGTCCTACATATATTAAATCTAGTATTTGCATTTTTATTTTGCCTTGACATTTCCATTTGTTTTCACGTATCACAATTTAATTTTCCACGACATATCCATCTTCTACCACACTATCACCACTCCATTTCCACTACGTCCATTCCATTTTGCCACTGCATTCTCATCTGTATATACCATAACTAACTTTACTTAGGTGACAAAGTAAAGTGCCTTGACAAACCTATTTGATTTCCCCAATTCCCTGTGGAGACGGTACTCTACTTATCACTTTATTACTTGTTCGATTGTGTATACTTGCATACATATCCGCATCATATTTTAGTACTCACAAACAGCGGACATTCAGCACATAGCAATTTGGGCAATCTAGCATGTATCCTCATGCTTATGGCACGTTCATTCAGAGTTCTGTTCATGCGCTCCTCTACGCCATTCTGCTACGGTGTTATGGGAACTGTTGTCTCCATCTTGATCCTATTGTTTGCGTAGAAATCTCTGAGTCTACTGTCTCTGTATTCTCCTCCATTATCAGACCTCAATCGTTTGACTTTCAAACCATTCTCATTTTCCACCATGGCCTTCCATTTTCTGAAGGTATCAAAGACTTCTGATTTATTCTTCAGAAAATAAACCCATACCTTCCTTGTTGAATCATCGATGAAGGTGACATAATATAGTGAGCCTGCAAGAGATGGAACTGGGGATGGTCCCCATACATCAGTATGAACCAATTCTAACCTTTCTGCCTTGGGAGTATTGCTAATCTTTGTAAAGCTGACTTTCTTTTGTTTGCCAAAGATGCAATCCTCGCATAGTCCGACATCTACATTCTTTAAATTCGGCAGCTTCCCTTTTGACAGAAGTATCTTCATTCCTTTCTCGCTCATATGGCCAAGCCTTTGGTGCCATAGGCTTGATTCTCCATCAGCATCTGCTACTGCAATGATATTCTCTAAATTCGAGGTTACATAGAGAGTACCATTCTTCTTACCATGAGCAATGACGAGTGCTCCTTTGGTAATCTTCCATTCACAGCCTGAAAAGGTTGTACTATATCATTCTCCATCAAGCTGTCCAACAGAAATCAGATTTCTTTTGAGGCCAGGAATATGTCTCACTCCTGTCAGCTTCCAGGTGGTCTGGTTTGGCAGCTTTAGTCGGATGTCTCCTTTTCTGACAATCTTCAAGGTTTCATCATCAGCAAGATGAACATTCCCAAAATCACCACTGATATAGTTTTCCATGATTTCTTGGCATGGGGTGGAGTGGAAAGATGCCCCTGAATCCAAGATCCATGATTCAATCGAACTGTTGACGCTTAGAATCATGGCATCACTTGTCTCCTCTGTCATGTTAGCAGATTCATGTGCACCGGTATCTTTCTTCAGTGCTCGACAATCTCTTTTAAAGTGACCCTTCTTGCCACAATTATAACAGGTAAAATCTTTCTTTCCCGTTCTGGATTTTTCCCGTCTGGATTTTGATCTGCCACGATTTGAATATCTTTCTGAAGTTCTTCCTCTAGACTCCATGTGCAAGGCTGAGGAGGTTGATGCTTCACCCGATTCTTTCCGTCGAATTTCTTCACTCAATACCAGATCCCGAACATCGTCGAATTTCAATTTGTTGTTTCTCGACGAGCTGCTGACTGCTGTAACAGTAGCATTCTAACTATCTGGTAGAGATGATAAGAGAATTAAAGCTCGAACTTCATCATCGAACTCAATTTCCACTGAACTCAACTGGGTTGTGATTGTGTTGAGTTCATTTAGGTGTTGTGCCACCGATGCCCCTTCCGCCATCCGCAAATTGAATAATCGCCTCATCAAATGAACTTTGTTTGAGGCCGGTGGCTTCTCATTCATACTGGAGAGAGCAGCCATAAGACCCGTCGTGGTTTTTTTCCTTTGCTATGTTGAAAGCAACATTGCGGGATAACGTCAGTCGGATAACTCCGAGGGCTTGTCTGTCGAGAAGAGCCCAGTCTTCATTCTTCATGCCCTCTGGTTGTTTTCCTGAGAGGGGTTGATATAGATTTTTCTGGTATAGAAAATCTTCAATTTGCATCTTCCAAAATCCAAACTCCGCACCATCGAACTTTTCAATTTTCACCTTCCCTTCGTCTGCAGCCATCGCTCCCACTCGAATCTGGCTTCGTTTGGATCGTTTTTGACAATTTCTGTGAACCGTCGTGTATTAGAACACCTCCGTCGACAAACTCGTATCGCCGACCGAATTTCACTATTCACGAAATTCACTATTCATGTGAATAGTAACCCAAATAGTAACCTCGCAAAAAATTGACAGAATTCACAACCAAAAGCTCTGATGCCAGTTGTTAGGAAATAAACCGAGTACAAGTAATTTCCCTATAACCAGATTAGTGAGAATGCGAAATAAAAGCAGAAAAATAATACCCGAAAATTGATAACGGAGTTCACCCAATTGTGCTTACGTCTCCGGGCTGCTGCAGATCTTTTACTAAGAGAGAAAATTTACAGTTGTTTACAAAACACTCACTACTCACAAGAAAGCTCTCTAGTATAGGAAGAAAGAAATGTTTTGGGATGATTTTGAAGCTAAATGAGCTAGGGTATTTATAGTTAAAACTTAGGGACTAATCTTGTAAATACCCTAAAGTGTGTAGTGGCTAAAATGTAATTAAGCCAAAAATCATTTTCAACAACCAACTTTCGGTGCATTTAAAGCCACCGAAAGTTGCCCACCCCACCTTAATTATTTTCCAACACCTCCGAGGCATGATAGTACCGAGACTATTAAACGGGCACTTGAACTTGGCGTCAGTGTCAAGATGATCACCGGTGACCAGCTCGCCATCGGCAAAGAGACTGGTCGTAGACTTGGAATGGGGACCAATATGTATCCTTCTTCTGCCTTAGTTGGCCAGTGTCATGATGAGTCTCTTGCTAACATTCTTATTGATGATCTTATTGAGAAAGCTGACGGATTTGCAGGAGTCTTCCCTGGTAATTGGATAATTATCTCAAGCTCTTAAATTTGGCATGAAATGATCTCTGCCACTTCATCCATAGCGAAAATTATACGAAATTTATTGTATGCAGAGCATAAGTATGAGATTGTTAAAAGACTCCAAGAAAGGAACCACATATGTGATATGACCGAAGACGGAGTGAACGATGCCCCAGCGCTTAAGAAGGCAGATATCGGTATCGCAGTGGCTGATTCAACCGATGCGGCCAGGAGCGCCTCAGACATAGTGTTGACCGAGCCAAGGTTGAGTGTGATAGTGAGCGCAGTGTTGACGAGCAGATCAATCTTCCAAAGGATGAAGAACTACACCATCTACGTCGTTTCCATCACGATCCGTATCGTGTTGGGATTCATGCTAGTAGCACTCATTTGGAAGTTCGATTTCTCGCCGTTCATGGTGTTGATCATCGCCATCCTCAATGATGGAACCATCATGACCATCTCAAAGGATAGGGTGAAGCCATCTCCGAAGCCAGACTCGTGGAAGCTGGACGAAATATTTGCCACCGGGATTATCCTTGGAACATACATGGCTATTGTGACCGTCTTCTTTTTCTGGCTTGTTCATGACACCGATTTCTTCACCGTCAGTACATCACACTCAAATTCATGATTCTTTATGGTTATGAAGCCCTCTGGCCCCTAAAAAATATACTTAAATACTGGGTTTTTTTTAATATTTGCAGAATACTTTTGGTGTGAAGCCAATAAAGGATAGTCTGGCAGCACTTACTTCAGCTCTATACCTTCAAGTCAGTTCCGTCAGTCAAGCACTCATCTTCGTCACACGGTCCAGAAGCTGGTCCTTCGTCGAGTTCCCTTGTCTCTTGCTTATCATCGCCTTCATCTTAACAAAATTGGTAAATCCATAATTATAATACACTCATAAACAAATTAAAAACAAAAGAAACTTATGTGGTTGCATGTGAAACAAGGTGGCGACTTTGATTACCGTGTACGCAAACTGGGGATTCGCCAGAATGCAAGGCATTGGATGGGAATGGGCGGGAGCAATCTGGGTGTTCACCCTAGTCACCTACATCCCTCTTAATATCCTCAAGTTCATCATCCGTTACGCTTTGACCGGTGATGCCTGGGGAAACGCAGTTCAGAGCAAGGTCAAACAAACTACACACTTTTTTTCCAAAAAAATTTGTCTCTGATTAAATTCACTCAGTTTATGTTTGATGTCAATTCAGACCGCATTCAGGGGAGAGAGCAAGACACTACTAGTGGCACCAAATCAACATGCGCATCAAGGCGTTTCAGCACCGCCTGAGACCTATTCCAGTGACAAGATTGTGCAAATGGTTTAACACAGCAGACTCCAGTTAGTGCCGAAAATGAACAGAATTTGAACTGCAGATTTGTAACTTTTTGTTAGTTCAACTCAATTTTATTTGAAGTTTCAATATTGCATTTTGCATTCGTGTTTATTTTTCGGTTGGAAATCTCTCTGCCTGGGTTGATTTGTTACATTAAACAAATATTCAAAAATATATCTAATAATTAAAAAATTGTGATTGAACAATAAAAACAAAAAATCTTACAAATAAATATAAACAAAAAAACAACAAATGAAAAAGGGTTTTCACCTCAATTCCAAAACATTGTTTAATATCTTGCATATAGTACAAATGGAATTTAGTTCTTCGTCTTGCAGTAAAAAACTGAGGCTCAAGGACTGCTCCGGTGATAATTTTCTACAACAGAAAACTCATACTTTACGAGCAATAATATGCCTTTCTCGTTGATATTCAACTTCTCCTCTCTGGTGCATAATTAGAATGGCTCTTCTTACCTGTCAAATAAAACAAACCATATTGAATCAGATGTTAAATAAATATACATACAACACAAAAATTAGCATACTTTTCAACTCGTTTTCACTCTTTTACTCTTCACTAAGAATACTAAAACTAAATTCTAACAATGACTCAGTTTTTAAGACTACTACTTACAATTGACTCATTCATCCCCATTCTAGTAAGATCATCAATCAGCATTCTTTCTGATATGCGATTTTTGATTCCCGGTCTTCTCTTTATCTGGTTCTCCGCTTGCTATATATGCATCAAAATTTGTTAACATGAGAGTACAAGTTCAACAAAAAATGTCTGTTTACAAACCTTTATCTCGTTGGCCATATCAGGCGAGATATTAATATGTTGGTTTATTCTGGAACGCGCAGCATCCATGGTGGAGACTTTGAAAAATCTCAATGCTTCAGCTACATCACCTTCAGTGGCAACATGTGACCTGAAATATATTTAAATTGTTAAAAAGAGGGAAAAATTTTATTCTATTTATATCATAATAGGCTGGTAGATATTTATCAAATTATCGGAGTAGGTTAACTTCTATTTGAGTTAAATTCAAGCATTCACGATCTAACATGATTTTGCTAGATCTGACCCTTGCAATTTCAATTTTGCAAGAGCCTCTCTTAAACTTACGATGGCCTCCAGCTGCCTCACAGTGATGGGAATTGCTACACTCTCTCCTGTCTCATTTGCTTGTTGCCTCATTCCCTACAATAGTAACCCGTGTTGATGACTAATGTTAGTAAGCATAAAACTTGAGATCATTTGAAAATCAACTTCAGAGAAGTTCTCATGCTAATGGGTGCTACGGGCTCCTTTGCTAGATAAATTTGGAATAGAACTGAAAAAAGCATTTATGGCTAATGCTTGAGAATACCCTTCTGATATCAACACTTCACTCTGAAGTTTAGCACATGTAGCTTCTGAAAGGCGAGGATGGCATTCTGTTTGAAAATATTGTATATACCTATAAAATTTAACTCAATTTAACAACAAATACAATGTAGCATACATGTTGGATATATTCAAGTACCTTCACTTCAATTATCAAAAATAAGAAGCGACTTTATTTTACATATACCTTTTCAGCCAAATCTCTTCTTTAGGAGTTCTACTGTCATTGGATGCTGTCTGAGCTGTTGCATGAACTAAACCTGTAAAAGGATAATGGAATTCAAACATGGTAGAATCACTTGGAAGTGTTAAAATTATCTGTTCTTTCGTTTTATCCTTGGAGCACTAAAACAGAATAATTACTGTTCAGCGATCAAGAAATAATTTTTCTGATAAGAAATTCTTGAATTGTCATCGGGGGAGGAAATCTAAGGTGAGCAAAATAACGACAATACCTTGTCTAGGTCATACATTCTGATATCCTTTACAATGATCAGGTCAAATCTTGACAGAATTGTAGTTTGCAAATCAATATTGAACTGTGAAGTCTTCAAGGTAATTATATTTGTCAGTTTCTTCAAAGGAATACCAAGCATAAATTAGAGAAATTGAGAAAAATGGAAAAGCGTGCAGGTACAGACATTAAGATCATCATAACGTCCTGAAGGAGGATTAGCAGCGGCAAGCACTGAAGTTCTGGAATTGAGAACAGTTGTAATTCCAGCTTTGGCAATGGATATTGTCTGCTGTAGACACTCATTTTCATCCCGGTTATATTTAATTTCTATTTTTACTTTTACCATTATTGTGTAGTATTATTTACTATCATATTATTTATCTTATTATTTTATTAATATGTTATTATTAGTATAATTATGAAATATTTAGTATATACATTGCCATTTATTATACTACGTAGTATATATTATTTTACTATCATTTTTATTATTATTTATAACATGCAAAATAAGGAATGAATGGATTTTTATTGATAATTGATTATTTTTCAGGCCCACATTAACCCAACCATAACAAGGCTGAGGAAGACCCTAGGGCTTCCCATCACTCCAGTAGTTGCCTCCCCTAGGACAATCGAGACTAGCTGGCGCACGTCCATAACACGCGCGAGCGATTGGAATTCATCACGCGCTCGCCGAATCTTCCACGCACCGAAAAGTGGCCCCTCCAGATTTCATTCGAACCAAACTTGGGAAGCAAATCATCTCAGTAGACAACAAATCCAGAAAATCTGGGACTAAATGCTAATAGAGATTTGAAAATCTCTAAATTTCATTGTAAAAAAAGAAAGAATTCTTGTTTAAATATGTGAAAAAAATCGAATAAAGGGGAAGGAAAACACACGAAAAACAATGAGTAGAAGGGGGAATTCAAATGTAAAAAACTATTTTACCCTCAGAATTTCGAATCAATAAAAGATCTTTTTTTAGACATTTCCCTTTGGTTTTCTTTCTCACGTGAGTTCATTTCAATGAGGTTTCCGAGTAGTGATCTATAAAATGAGAAAGAAAAGGGAGTGAGAACAAAATAAATAAATAAATAAATAAAAAGTGAAAAAGAAAGTCTTAATGTTCGGCCGGGGGTCTCGCCAGCGATAGGGGCCTTCGTTCGCAAATCTGAACAGTGAGAATGGAGAAAGGCTAGCAGGAGTAACATATCGCGGAATCGCGACGATATAATGGTGGACAGTGGCAAATCGAAGATAGGAGAGTCAAACGATTTTTGGCTTTTTCACAGCAAACGACGCACTTTCTGGCAAAATAAACTCTAGATTTGGATTCAGGAGGCCAAAACGAGCCTCTCGAGGTATGTTGGAAGCGTACGGACATCACCGGCGATGGCCGACGGAAGACGATTATCAATAATTGACGGTAGTGACTGGCTGAATTTTAGATAGGAGAAAGCTTATCTCTCATAAAAACAAAAGCTTTGGATGTGCTTTCGGCTCAAGAATCCTCCGTTATGAAGTTGAGACTTGAACTCGAAAGCTTTAGTTGAGAAATAACTATTCTTGACTTAAGCTACGTTGTAAATGATTCATTCAGGTGAAAGATTCTTTGGATGGCTCCCTTTTACGGTTTAAGTCGGTCTTGATTCCTTAGATGACTCCCCTTCAGGGGAAATCCAAGTGAGACGATTCCCCTTCATGATTTAAGTCGATCTTGATTTCTTGGATGACTCCCCTTCACGAGAAAGCCAAGTGAGACGAAATGATGAAACTCTAATACATTATTGAACCCCAACCGGGCTTTACTTGCTGGGTCAGGCCTACTTTCTCATTTTTGGGCTTTTAGACCTCAGCTGGACTTAGGCTCTTTGGCTTGGACTAGACCCCTTTTTATTAGATCAAACCTAAAAATAAAATAAAAAGAAATGATAATAATAATATGTAGACTATACATATTTTTTTTAAAAACTATATATATATATATTATATTTTCAAAAATTATATAATATGTTTTTAAAAAAAATATATATATATATATATATATATATATTATTTTCAAAAACTATATATATTATATTTGATATATATTATCATATCATATATACTATATAATATAAATATTGTAATAAAAATCCTTGAAGTCCCGGATGAAAATGAGTGTATACAACTTGCACTTGCATCTCTGCATTGTGCATTTACATCTTTGTATTTTGTATGGCATTTAAGCATCTTTGCATACATTAATCATGAAAAACATTCAAAATAATTCATGAAGGAATTCTGTCCAGCAATTCTAATCATGCAACTCTTCACCTTCCTTATGTTAAAGATTTTAACGCCACCAATAATTGTCGGGCATTGAATCGCGAGGACCAAAATTCGATCGAACCAAATGTCTAAGCATTTAATGAATAATAGGGAAAATCTCCAAATTGGTGAGTGTGATGGCTCCACTGATTGAGAAAAATAGTCCAGTAGGGGAGTTTGTGGCACAGGTTGGGGAAAGAGGCTTAAGTGAGAGTCAAAATTCTGACTTGATAGTGAATAGGCATCCCGAGGAAGAAACAAGAAAAGATCACAAAGTTGTGCTACTTAAGAATAATATGTCATGTTTGAATTTGTCTTGTTTTTATGTCTGAACTTTTTTAATCGAATAAATGTTATTTGTTTTTCCTATTATGAGCAATTGAGCATTTTTTGAAATTTAGTGAATATCAAATATAATAAAAATACACATTTGATAAATGAGATCATAGCCTTTTGATATATGACAAGATAAAATTCCTAGAAAAAATAATAAGATCCATTGACTTATACTCATACGCATGCCTTTTATCCAAAGAAACATTTCCCCCATACGATGAAGCCATCAGATACTCAGGTAAGTGTGGAAGCTGACAAAATGGGGCATCATTGATTCATGACAGTGCTAGACTGATTAGTTTACATATATGTTAAGAATGTTCTATAATGATATATTGTCTTCACAAATGGTGTAACATTCCAAACTAAGGGCTAGTGACCAAAATGTAAGCTTTTGAAACTTTGTGGTTAATTTTGAAAAAATTGAAAAGTTCATGGAGTTAATTGGAATTTCTTGGTGTAGGTTTTATTAGCAAAGATTTAAATATAG